GTTGTAAGAATAAAAGAAAATAAATGTAAATCACCCTGGCACAATTCTCTTATAAAGTATAGATTTATTATTAAGGGAAAATTAAAGGAAGAAGAGAGAGTCACTGCTTTTCTTGGAAATTTTTAATATTAATGAACAAGAAAAGAAAGTGAGCCAAATGAATTCCTAGATGGTGTCTCTTTTGTTAAGGAGAATAGGCTTCAACCTACAAATGGTACCAGCAAAAGTAGAAAAGGGAATAAATTCAAGATTACTGATGACCTAGTAAAGAAGCACAGAGAATTGTGAAATCCCCTAATCAGATACATTTTATTTCAAGTCATCAAGAATATCTACAAATGTTGGGCTTCCCTGGTGGCACAGTGCTTGAGAGTCCGCCTACCGATGCAGGGGACACGGGTTCGGTCCGGGAAGATCCCACATGCTGCAGAGCGGCTGGGCCCACGAGCCATGGCCGCTGAGCCTGCGCGTCCAGAGCCTGTGCTCTGCAACGGGAGAGGCCACAGCAGTGAGAGGCCCACGTACCAGAAAAAAAAAAAAAGAATATCTACAAATGTAGATACATAAATGGATCTAAACTCATATATCAGTTTCCCTTCAGAGGGAGATCTTTAGCAGGAGTATGACTTTATATATGTTAGTGGCTCCATCCTGTTAAATATCCTTTATCATTGACTTAGATAACACATATATTGCCTTGTGAAGAGAACAACTATGCTTGATGGCAGAAGCGAGCTGGAATAATGGGATGGAATCATTGCCATTCGCTTAGGCATAAACTAAACAATTATAGGAGAATGTGATGTGGCTTGTCAGTAATATATGCAAAAAAGACAGATTTTAATGGACGATAGTTATATGATTCAGCAATGTCATATTGCTGCAGAAAACCCTGTGAGCACTTTTTGATATTCAATATAAAATATCCAAACCAAAGCTTTCTATTTTTTATTCACCTGTCTTCCAGATTACTAATCTTGTCTTTTGCTGTCTCCCATTTGCTATTAAACTATCCCTTGAGTTCTTAATGTCTGATATTGTATTTTTCAATACTGGAATGTCCATTTCATTATTATTTTGTAAGCTTAATTTTATTGTGAAATTCTCCATCTTTTATATACTTTCTATGTTATTTCGTGTATTTTCTTAAATATATAAATCATGATTATTTTAAAGTCCTTATCTGCTAATTCAAACATCTATACCATCTGCTTTTTCTCCCTTTTTTTTTTTTCTTCACTTGTAACTAGTGCCAGTGTTCTGTCTCTTTGCGTGCCAGGTATTTTTTTTTAATTGAAAGTCAAGCATTGTGTTTTCAAAAAGCAAAGGTGGAAAAGCTCCAGATGATATACTTTCATCAGAGAGTTTCAGCCTGTCCTCTGCTAGGCAGATAGAGTAGAGGGGGTAGTGGGGCTGACCACTTTAAGTTTTCTTTGAGAATCTGTCAGATTCTATCTCTGCTCTACTTTTCAGAGGTCTTCAGCTTGGATATGTAGCTTCACACCCCATGAAGCTTCCGAATTTGGCAAATGTCTTGAGGGGGAGACTGGCTATGGCTGAGTCTACTCAAGTCATCACTTTTATCACCCCAAGCCTGATCAGGTCCCCAACTTTGCTGTTTCACCTGTCTCCCACCTTCTAGGGGCTGAAACAGGATCCTCACTCAGCCTCCAGCTCAGCCCACACTATCAAGCACCACTAGGAACAAAGTTATCTCAGATTACTTTAGAGTCAATTTTCCTTTCCTTTGAGGACTTTCAGCTGTCACCTGTCCTCCAAGTAGACCTTTGTCTCCTAAGTATCATGAAAATGCGGGCTATTCCACTTTAATTTTCTGTGTTTGGGCTTATGACTGTAGCCTGCTTTGCTGTGAAATTTTGAAACTTAGCAAATATCTTGGAGAGAAAAACGAATTTGAGGTCCTGCTACTCTCCAATTTTGTTACTCCAGTCCCATGTAACTGCCAAAAGTTTTGCTGTTCTTTTGTCCCCCAGCAGCAGTTCTCTTCCTGAGTTGAGCCTGGATTCTCAGCCTCTATCTGCATCCGGAAATCAAAAATAACCTCCAGGGACAGCTTCAGATTCTTAGCTCTTAGTCTTGCATTTCCTGAAATGTGCTCCCTCTGGTGCTTATTGTTTGGCTGATCCTTGATACCTTACATATATTACTTTTGTCACTGATTCAGCTTTTCTAATTTTTCTCAGTGGGAGCATTGGCCTGATGCTAATGACTCCATCTCACTAAAAGCAACAGTCTTATGTAGGTTCCAACTGAGTACAATACAGGCTTTAATAGGTAGAGGTATCTAGGCCCTGTGAAGATAAAGTATGTTTATGGATTGGATAGGGAACAAAATTTTCCACTTAAACTTTCTAAGATTTTTGGTACAGGGCATAACCTTCTGGATCTTTCTACCTATTTAGCTAGCTGTCATCCGTCTACCCATTCATCCATCCATCTGTCCACTCCTCCATCCATCTCTCTTTCAGAGTAATTTCATAGCAATGAGTTAGATTGTTACAAAATGAAGAATGAAAATCAGTGTCTGAAACAACTGAAATAGGAAATGGTAAGAATCTAGGTGCTGACATTTTCATTGTCTTCATGACTAAAATGAATAAACCAAATTGTATGATAGCTAGCTAATTCTATAACTGAAAAACTTTGCTTGATCTTACGTTAGTTAACTTACGCATACTACCTTAGATCTAGCATTTATTGCTCTTAATCCATTACCACCTATTTTGTAATGTTTCAACAAGGATTCTTTTCCTATCCCTTTTTTTTTTTTTTTTTTTTTTTCTTTTAACAATGCATAGGGCTTCCCTGGTGGTGCAGTGGTTGAGAGTCCACCTGCCGATGCAGGGGACACGGGTTCCTGCCCCGGTCCGGGAAGATCCCACATGCCGCGGAGCGGCTGGGCCCGTGAGCCATGGCCGCTGAGCCTGCGCGTCCGGAGCCTGTGCTCCGCAACGGGAGAGGCCACAACAGTGAGAGGCCCGCGTAACGCAAAAAAACCCCAACAACAACAATGCGTAATCATTGAGTTTTGGGATGATTATGAACATTAGAAATATGAAAAAATAATTTTTTTATGTATGTATTTAAATCAAATATATTTCTTTCCTGAAAGGGCAGAAAACAGAAAGTTTGAAGAAAGGTTATCTTGAATGAAACTTAGAGAAACAAGTGAAGAAACCTATCACTACAATGGAAGGAGAAGGCAGGCAGTTTTAAGTAAGAAGAGAAAATAAGAAAGCTACAAGTCATATCCTTGAGTAATTATCAATATTTGAAAGACTAAAACCATGATAAGCATCATTAGCACCTATATGCAAATACCAGATTAAATTTAACTATATTTACATTGTGGGTCTATCTCCTCATGACTTAAATCGACCTATTATGATCTTAGATTGGTCTAATGCCATTTTCTTATCCATATAGTGGGATAAAGTTATTATAATAATAATACTTTTAAAATAAATATTTTGTCCTAGATTTAGACTTTCATGAGTATTACCTGTATATTATGACATTTAATCCTCACAACCACCATTTAAAGTAGGTAAACTTAGTCCTGTTTAGTTATAGAGAAGTAAAATGAAGCATAGACAACATATGAAATTTGCCAGGTCATAGATTTTAGTTAGCGTCAAAGCTGTGTTCAAATCCTGTGATCTAAAACACTGTCCTATAGAATTTTCTGCAGTAATGGAAACGTTCTATCCCTGCACTGTCTAATACATAGCCACCAGGCACATGTAGAAATTGAGTACTTGAAATGTGCCTAGTACAATTGAGGAAATGAACTTTTAATTTTATTTAATTTAATCAAGTAAAATTTAAATGGTCACATGTGTCTAGTAGCTACCACACTGGACAGCACAACTCTAAACTAATTAGATTATATTGGCTGCTGGCCCTGAAAAATCTTGTGAAGTGTACAAGAACACCATTTTAGAAGCTTTTTCTTAATCAGCTGGAACATCACTCCTTGACCTACTTTTAATAGAAATCAATATTGTATATGGAAAAAAAATGTAATGTATATACTGGTCTTTATTAGTAAATAATATGGTAAATAGCTTACTTGTAAGCATTTGTATGAAATAAACAGTTTGTAAGTCAGGTGCTTTCTTTAAGTCAAAGGGCAACTTTCTCTTTCTTTATTTGGGCTTGCTGTGAGGGCATTAGTATACATACTTAAGCCCACATGAGGAAAATAATAGAAGAGAGGAAAGATAGGGGAAGCTGGTTGTTTTATATTTACTTAGAATGTATTAGATGTTGGCATTATGGAGCTAAATGGCGAGTTCTCCTACTTCCTTCCGGGTCATGTCTGCAGGGTGTGCTGAATAAGCAGGGTGGCAGCAAAGGACACTTAATATGATTCTTTCAGGAGCATGTGAGGTGACTCCTGTCCCTTGCCCGCTGTTCCTCCTGCCAAGTGATTTTAAGCTAATATTAATGGGCAGGAATCACACAGTAGGTGTGCCCTTTATTCTCTCTAGAATGCCTTATCACTCCTTCCTCCTTCACTTTTTTGTCCAAAATAACACTTTCTTTACTTATATAAACATCACAATAGTGTTTTGCTTTATATGTGAAGTCTCAAAAAGCAAACTAATATTTTCCGTGCCTAAGAACATTCTGTAAATTAAACAGCGTTTCTACTTTCTGAGAACCCAAATTCCACCAGAATAAATTGGAACATTCTCTCTGTGCTTTATTTTCAGATTCTTGACTCTTAAAGATTGAAATTATTAAAACAAATGCAAGTAATTCAAGAGCTTTCATTCCTCTTTTTCCTCATCGGTGCTGGTTATATTTTAGGCTTTGTTCAGAAGGTCAGAGTTGGCTCGATGGTCATAGCTGTGGAAGGGAGTTTGATTGACTGCACATGTGCTAATACTATGCATACATTATTGAGGGCACTACGAGGCAGAGTGCCCTCAGAGAACACTTCTGAAAAGAGTAGTTGACTCAGGCCCCACCTTTACAGAGCTCAGTTCCTAAAAATAGGTGCTAAGTTGCATCCTTTAGATGCAGGGCTGAAATAAATTCAGCCGTCCCATCTACTCTCTTGATAGACCCTTCAGTGGAGCTGGCCTCCACTCCACCGACTGCTTTCAGGGGACTGGGAAATTTGCTGTACAAAGGAGGAAACTAGTCTGTGAAGAACTATAAAGATATATGACATTTCCACGAACTTGGGGTTAAGTCTAAATATTACAAAAGGTATGTGTTACATAGTCATTGATACTCTACTTCCAGAGTTGTGATATGTTCTTGCTGATTGCTTAAGATCAATGAAGACCACAGGTCAAATTGTAATTGTCATCACAGCAAATATTCAATTGGATTTTGTAGAATAGTTAGCATTTTTTATTTTTAGTATTGAAGAAATATGAACCAAACTTGATAAACAGACATCAATGAAAATTATACTTCAATTTATAGTTAAAAGGGAAAACTGAAAGAATTAGTTTATCTTTTATGAGCATAAATTGATAATGTATACAATGAATATGTTTGAAACTCTAAACTATATTTCCTTTTTTTTTTAAACTATACTTCTTAAAATTTGCTGAGGGAAAGGAAGAGTTGAAAATATGCTCAACTGTTGCAGCTTGCTCAGAGAAATGTATAAAATGTATTCTTTCTCCAGCCTTAGTTTGATTTTGTGCTTCTTGCCCCAGCCAGTCTCATCTCCTCTGGGAGTATTACTGGAATAAGGATTAAAGAATCAGGTTCTTACATGTTTTGCAGAATTAAGAAAAGCACTGCCAGTTGGATCTGCCAGACCTAATTATAGTAACTACAAACTTAAAGAGAGAAGATTGAGATTTTACTTTTAAAATAACATGGCCTATATACTGTTTCAAATGAATTTATTCTGTCTTCAGTTGCCTATGAACACCTTAATTTGGTCCTGTTGTGCCTTAAATGTTTAGATGTTAGAGACTGAAGTGATTTGGAAGAGGCATTATAACAGAATCTCTTACGACACCAACTAAAAGCAAGGACACTTTAAGATTACATAATACAGGGTTTAAATTTAGCCAGCTGGTGCTGAACTGAAAGATGTTTTATTTTTACCAGAGCTCTATTTGGTCACTGAGGAGCTTGAGTTTGTTTGAATTATTTTAAAATTTTATGTGCAGGGTGCCAAAGGGCGAGTAAAATATTTACCTGAGCTACATTCAGAGCCCTGAATTTTAAGGAGCACCAGTTTTGAGTTTTAGAAGTTATTACCATTGAGTGGCAAAAATATTGAATAAAAAATGGGAAAGTGTTGAATTCTGTGCTTAAATATTTCTCTACTTGTCTGCCTAATCTTTGAATCTTTTACCTTTTTTACTGTTAACATGTAAATGAACAACTAGATCCATTTTTTAAAGTCATTCAGCATTTCAGATGTCTACAATATGGCAAAGTGCCAGGTGTTTGGGGAAAATGTAGTCTGGAGTTTGGAGTAAATATTTCTGCATGCAGTGTTGTGCATCTTTTAGATACAACTTCCCTCAACCACCTGAAAAATAAAAGTAGATATTCTAATGATCACAGAGAGCTTTACTTCAGAAAATGTCAGGCAGGCCTCAAGTCTTCAGTGTTTACAAAAGAAGAGAGGGTTGGTTGTCTTTCCTCAAGTTTACTTTTGAGTAAAAATACCCCACAAAGTTCATAGATAATTTACTATTGTTTATCATTGGTAGCTGTCTGCTATTCAGTCATTTCCAGTATTTTGCCTCTCACTTACATTTATCACAACTGAAAAACTTCTGCATATCAGTATTCGTTTTATTCGTTTGGTAAAATATTACTTATGATGAGACAATTTGGGGTTGGACCCCCATGGTAACCTTGGAACTGGAAACTGATACTTCCTCTCTTCTCTCTCTCTCGTGCATACACATAAGTCTGGGCAGTAAGAGACCATTTTGGAACTCTTGTTTGTTAGCTTGGAGTCACATCTAGATTCAGTAATTTACAGACCAGGCCAGAAACTTAATCAGTCCTTGGCAGTATAATTCCCAGATTTCTGATTGAACAATCTGTGAGGGATAGAACTTAAATGACATTATGTTGTCCTTTTTATTTGCTTCCCACCCCCTCTTTTAAAAGCATTCAAGTTACACTTTGAAATTTAATTAAATTGTAATTTTTTTTTCCCTGCTACTGAGACAAACACTTGCTCATTCAAATTATAGGTTCATCCTTTGCAGAATGTGGGTAACATCAGATTTTTCTGATTCAGGAATAACTTTTTTTAGAACACTGGTTTATTCAATATAAGTACATGGTCTTTATGTGACTGCATGATATATTGTATTGTTGTTGTTTTTTCCCTGACACCAAATGCATGGTATTTTCTGACACCAACCAATTCTCCAATTCTGACACCAGCGGGGTGTACAACAATTCAGTTCAATTCTCACATTAACTTCCAGAGTTAGAGCAGAACCCACGGATTGCCTGCACTTTAGACACTAACTCAGGAACAGCCAAATGGAAGAGATTCATAGAGTAATGGGCAGGGGGGGCACAGAGCTTCCATGCACTCTCTGGGCTCACCACCCATCAGTATGTTCACCAACTGGAAGCTCACTAAATCCTGTTGTTTAGAATTTTTATTGAGATTTCATGATGTAGGATGATTGGCTGAATCATTGGCCATCGTTAAGTAGGTTCAATCTCTAACCCGTCTCCCCATTTCCAAGGTGGGAAGTGGGGCTGAATATTCAGACTCAAATCGCTTGGGTGTCTTTTCTGGCAGCCAGCCCCCATCCTGAAGCTATCTCTATTTCTCCTACCCCCGCATAAGGCCAGGAATTAGCTCATTCGCTAGCATACCAAAGACACCATCACTCAGGAGTTTTGAAGGGTTTTAGGAGCTCTGTGCCAGGAACCAGGGACAAATACCAAATACTTATTGTGCATTATATCACATATATCCACAATGTTACTTCTCCGTCTATGAAACGCTACCTATAAACTCCAGAGTAAAAGTTTCATCCAATTTATTTTCCTAATCATTGGAATCCTTCTTTTGCAAATTTAACTAACCTGAGTACTTCTCCATTTGTACAATATAATCAGGAAAAGCACAAAGAACAATGATAATCAGCCAGTGTAAAGAATAAAGGTTTTTTTTTTCTTAAGAATTGAGAGTCAGCAAATTCAATGAGTTATTTGTATCAGTTTGGATACAAGAAATGAGAGTATTGCTATATTTAATGACTCTTGGGACTTTGTGGGCATACATGATGGCATAAAAATAATCTGGCAGTGAGCAGTGCAATAGGTAATCCAAATTCCTGGTAGAGTGGCTGTACTTCTTAAAATATCACAAAGGATAAAAGGAATTTATTACATAGATAACACAAAGAACCTCAGTGACTATTTGATTTAACACCTTTAAGTTCTAGATAAGAAAACTGAGCCACAGAACATTAACTAGTAACTTACAAGATTTAGGCAGAGAGAACTAGAAACCAACTCTCTTGACTTATATTTCAGTGCTATATGTCATTCTGCAAAGCTTTGTGCCATATCACCCCAACCTTACTCCACCCCCATGACTTGGAACACATTTAGAGGTAAACCTTCATAAAGCCTTTTTTCTTCCAGGTTTTTGTTGCTTTTTACTTTGCATTTCCTGTTTCTCTTTAATTTAGGATAAATTATGGAAAAGGAGAACTGATCCACATATTCATTTAAAACTCAAAAAAATGGTGATTGGTTTATTTTTTAACTTGACTAAGCGTTTAAGTTTGCTCATCTTCTGTGCTAGATGAGCTGTTTCTGCCCCACCCCCACCGCAGACCCCCACCATCACCTTGTCATTGGAGACATCATTTTTCACTGCTCTTTTTGGCAGACCTTCAAGTAGGTTTTAGTCTTCTGCATTTTTCCAGCTGTATACGGAATATATCCTGTTGCCCGGCGAGGTGAATGCTTTAGATATGTCTGACTGTTCAAAAGTAAATAATTGCCAAATTGCTCCAGGCACACATACGACTTAAAATAAATATAATACTAAAAGAATTTATTTTAGGAAATTTTTGTTGGTCAAAGATCCAATAACACATTCCCCCCAAATCTGAATATATCAGCATGTGTGTTTCTAAATGTATTAACTTGGTAGTTATCAACATAGAAAAGCTAAAAATAAAAAATTGTACCACCATTAATATTTTTAAATAAATTTATTTATTTATTATTTTTATTTATTTATTTTTGGCTGCATTGGGTCTTCGTTGCTGCGCGCGGGCTTTCCCTAGTTGCGGCGAGCGGGGGCTACTCTTCGTTGTGGTGGCTTCTCTTGTCGCAGAGCATGAGCTCTAGGCACACGGGCTCAGTAGTTGTGGCTCGTGGGCTCTGAGCGCAGGCTCAATAGTTGTGACGCACGGACCTAGTTGCTCCGCGGCATGTGGGATCTTCCCGGACCAGGGCTCGAACCGTGTTCCCCGCATTGGCAGGCAGATTCTTAACCACTGCACCACCAAGGAAGCCCTCACCATTAATTTTAAAAGCAAAGTCCAGCATTATAAATGATTTCAAAATATGTCAGTGGTTTTCATGTAAAGTTTCATAAATATGAACTGAATATAAAATAATGTTCAAATAATAATCATTTTATTTTATTTTTTAATTCATAGGAAGTTAATTGCATTGAAATAAGATGTAGGCAGAACTCACATTATAAAGTGGCTGGGTTTGTTTAAACTATGTATATTAAATTTTGAGTACAGTCACAGTTCCCCATTGAATTGCATTAAAATTCAAGGGTGCTTTATCACTATCTCTGTTGTTGTTGATTATTTTATTTTTAGTCAGTACCATCATAATAAGAGTTCAGCTTTATCTTATCTAACCACTAAGCCTTTTTGTCAAGTAATTAGACTTCATAAGTAACTATAGTAAATAAGTGCTCCAGGGAAACAGTGAAAAATCTTTTTTCAAAGCCAAGGATCACTTTTTAATTTATCTGTCTTATAAGTTAGAAATTTTTCTTGTTGACACAAGGGTCTTATTGTCAAGTTGGAATATTCTGGGAAAGAGATAGAATAAAGTGAGTTTGGTCACATTATTTAAGGGTGGTCAATTCCAGCTACAAGCTTTGTTTAAAATTCACTGCCTCTGCTTCTGTTGGATTTTGACTGATTCTCCTGAGTATTATATAGGGTAAAAGTCTGCTATTTGGCTACTAGGGTGAAGCCCAGCCCAGTTTCCAG